ACTATGTCCATACATCAAATAATCTGGCGAGATCAATTCACTAAGGGTCTGCATCACAATGCAATGTGATAGAAGGTGCGTCGAGGAACCGGGTTTGAGACCCACATAGAGCCATCAACAAGTGGTAACCTATCCTATGTGATCGGAGATCCCGTGAATTAGGATGGCGAAAACAAGCTGTTGATTGACCGAGGAGAGACCCTTAGATTATAGCTCGGTTTGTTGGAGATGCACCGTCTCTCTAATCTTTGTTAGGCAGGATGATTAAGTTCTTAATGTGATCGAAAGCGGCTTGGTATAGCGGGGATGTTGTCCTCTGTAACATCCTATAAGGAACACACCTATATGAGCTCGATTGCTAGTCACAATCTATGAGATGTGGGTAATCTCTAGATGCTCATGAAAAGGCCTCAAGTGTGACTTATATGCTTCTAACAGAGGGAAGGCACTTGGCAGCCTAGTATCAGTTAAGAGGCTATGTGAAACTCATCTCGCACAAAACTGTCAATTCAAGGTTCATCCATTGTTCGGGTTGTGGATGAGTGTAGCTAGCTTTCTAGATGGATGTTTAACTTAATGGTCTCCATCGAAACTTTGGTATATAAAAGGAATGTGGTTCTCGAGAACTCCAAAGCTGCGTACCCTAGAGTTTGGTGGGGATTGTTAGATATTATGGGCTTGGCCCATTTATTTAATAACTCTATTAAACTCTATGGTCCGTACATGTGTATTAATGGTTTTATACCATATGGGAATTTAATCGAGAGGCGACTCTACTTAAATACTTGGTCATTGGCGATCTATTTGAGAAGTAAAAGTGGATCACACTGGATGCACAAGGCTTGCTGGCTGCCCTTGCCGCCGCCCGGCCCTGCCCGAGCCCGTGCCTCTGCCTGCCGCATGCGTGCGGCGTGGCGAGGCGAGGCGAGGCGAGGCAAAGCGGCGGGGCGAGCGAGCGGACGGGCGAGGCGAGGCCTTTATTTTTGAAACCGACGAATTGATAGGAATTGATTGGAGGAGTTTTTGGTAACTCCCGTGACTCGGCTCTCCGTCTCCGCTCTCCCACCGCAGAAGGGAGGTGTGACCCCTCGTGTGCCGTCGGCTTCTCGTTTTCTCGGCCTCTCGCCTATAAAACAAATCCTCTCCTCTCGGTTAAGCTCTCTTGGCGAAGTACACCACTTTCCAAAGAACAGCAAGTTCTTCTCGCTCCACCTCCCGTGAGCACCAAAGATGGAAGAGTAGGCCTCCTAACGCGTCTCCGTCGTGGGCTTCACCCGCCGGGTGAAGACGGGCGATTACGCTTTTGGGGAGTGTCGGTCTTGCACGACTACTCATTGGTGAACCAAGAAGCAGTGCTTCTTCACGGCGTCCTTGTGCAGACCGTGACGAAAGGACGACGACTACAACAACAAAGCACCACCATGGCCTTTCCTGGTGCGAGCGGCTCCGCCGCAGGGTATAATCTTCTTCATCCTCTTCTGAGTTTCATTATCAATATCATAATGTTCCTAGGCAATACTGCTTTCATATTCAACATGCTCTGTTTGGTTGATTTGGATGATTATGCTAGTACTGGTTTTCTGGTTCCTTTTATTTTTGTGATCATCATGATCTTGATATTTGAGAACACATCTTTTATATTTATAATCATGTCTGTGATGCTTCAGCTATGTAAAACTATGTTTCACATATGTTTTGGCTCTATAGTTTGTATTATCATCATGTTAACATTTGCCATGAATTGTTTCTGTCTTCTTATTCATGACTTTACTCTCCTTTTTGTTGTGTTATTTTTATGGATTAAAATAAATATGAAAATGCCTTATTTGTCAACATGCCCGTGTATTGTAACGGAAAATTTTATGCTGCTGTTTTATTAACTGTTACCCGTGTCACTACACATAGCCACATGTATATGGCCTTTTTTTTTATCTGGCTTGTATATATACAGCAGCACGAAATAAATCGATCATGTTTTATGGTTGCCCAAGTCACTACACCTAACCACAGGTATATGGCCTTCTCTTTTTTTTATCTGGCTTGTATATATAGCAACACGAAAGTTACATAATCAAATTGCGCATAGCACCTGGGCTGGCTACCGCTGCTACCGTGCTAATGTGGACGGAGAGTTCCAACTGAAAAATTAGAAGGGTTCTCACGAGATCGTTCCATGGAAAAATAATAAATATAAGAAAAAAACAAAAAGAATTTGAATTAGAATTCCTATTCCGCTTACCTAGGTTAGGGAGATCTATTTGATTAGGATTCCTATCTACCTAGGTTATCCTAAGAAGCCCCATATACACGATCCAATATATTTTGGAATTAGACTCCGTATCATGTTAGACAAGAGCTATTCTAACTCGTATGAGAGCATGTGTTATTATATATATAGGTTCGGACGAAAGAGACTCTCCTTGGTTCGGTAGTTAGAGGGGGACGGACCAAAAAAATGGACGGACAAAAAAAAAAGGTTGAAATTTTGCCTCTTTATTATTAGGTATAGATATAGATATATACACCTAAAATTGGAATACGGAAGGGGATCAGAGTTGACGAAAAAAACATGGTAGAAATTTTGCCTCACCGTATTTGGATCCAAAAAGAGTAGAAAGAATAGGAAAACAAATAGCACCACAAATACGTTTTAGAATCGGACTCCATATCGTGCTAGACAAGAGCTACTCTAACTCGTATAAGCACGGGTTATATATATAAGTCCGGACGGAAGAAACTCTCTATTGTCCGGTAGTTAAAGGGAGACGAACACGAAGGGGATCAGAGTTGACGAAAAAATATGGCAAAAAATTTGCCTCACCGTATTTGGATCGGAAAAGAGTAGAAAGAATAGGAAAACAAATAGCACCACAAATACGTTTTAGAATCAGACTCCGTATCGCGCTAGATAAGAGCTACTCTAACTCGTATGAGCACGGGTTATATATATAAGTCCGGACAGAAGAAACTCTCTATTGTCCGGTAGTTAGAGGGAGACAGACCAAAAAATGGATGACAAAAAAATGGGCTGAAATTTTGCCTCTTTATAGATAGGTATAGATATATTGGCCCTGTTCGGCTTACCCCATATTCGGCTTGTTTGGCTTCTTTTTTCAGCTGGAACAGTGTTTTTCTCTCACAACAATTCCGCCGGAACAGTGTTTTTCAGCCAGTTTCAGCCAAGTTTCAGACCAGCGAATGGGGCCATTATTGCATTGATAGAGTACATTTATTCAAAAAAAAAGTTCTTTTATAGATAGGTATAGATATATGATTGCATTGATAGAGTACATTTATTAAAAAAAAAGTTCTTCAAGTACACATCAGTGATGCATCTGGGCACCCGGGCTACATGTGTGTTGGTAACAGTAACTAACTACATCTATGTAATTTTTTTTAAGGTCAACGGGGGAGAGGGTCCCCACCTGACTCATTTCGTAGTGGCCCAAAACGGCCCGTAAGTTACAGCAAGGGTTGCAGTTGTTGATTTTAGAACCAAAACTATTACTATGATTTTACATTGCGGATTGGAACAAGGAACACCATTTATCAGTTATTTCGCGGCTCTTCTTTGGCAATCTTTGTTTCCAGAGATTCACTTCTTGTTTGCATGCTATTAGCACCTGTTGCAATGTTGCTACTTCGTTTCTTAACACCACCCCGTTTCTTCTTTTCCATAGCTACCAGAAGCACAGGATAATGAGGGTGCCAAAAAAAAAACCTCTTGAGCTATGTGCATTGGGCAGTCGATGTTGCAAAGATCCTCCACCCCATTTCTATGTAATATAAGTGTGCTGTCGCGAACCGATCCTAGATTAGTTGGTTGGGTTCCTTGTGGTGGAACCTATCTACCTGAGTTCAATTCCTCGACTTGGCACGGGTGCTCGCATTTTTCTGGATCAATTCCAGGATTTATCGGTGCTATGCTCTCACTGGTAGGCAATGTCCCCGTCGACGACGAGGCGCCTGTGGTGAGTTCGTGAATTTCAAGATCTGCCGGCTTAGTCCTTTAGAGGTGCGGAGGGTTTGCGTACATTCCAGGATTTATCGGCACTATGCTTTCAGTGGTAGGCGACGTCCCCGTCGACAACGAGGCGCCTATGGTAACTTCGTGAATTTCAAGATCTGCCGGCTCAGTCCTTTGGAGGTGCGGAGGGTTTGCGTAGGTGTGTTCGTAGAGGTGATCTCCATTTCTAGTTTTTGCGATGTATATCAATCGTATATTTAGATGCACACATATAGAAATAGAAAAAGATATTGTGCTTAAAAGGCAATGATTTATAACTTAGAACGGATGGATTACACACAACACAAGAGAAAAAAGATATTGTGCTTAAAAAAAGGCAATGATTTATAATTTGGAACGGATGGATTACACACAGCACAAGAGAAGAAAGCCTGGTTTAAACATAAAATCAGATTTGGACGAATGGGTCACTGGGCCTAGACAGTAGACACACTGCCGGATATTAAGGCCTGCTTATTCGTCAAAAAAAAGGCCTGCTTGAGGCCCACGAAAGTTTCTAGGGCGCTTGACTAAACGGCCCTCGTGCCTTTTCTTCTCCCCGTTCACCCCCTCCTCACCTCGTCGCGCGCGCGCTCTCTCTCTTGGGCTCTTGGCGAAGCTCAGCAGCTGCCAACCGCCGCCGCCGCCCTACGCCTGATGTTCTAGCCTCGTCGGTTCCTTCGCCAAGCCTTCTCCGGAAGCTTCGCCGGCGACGAGCAACCATCGGATATGCGCACCCCTTCTCTCCCCTCTATGCTGTGCGAAACGGAGCACCCGAACCCTAACTTGAGCCAGTATTTGGATCTGATCTAGGAGTAATTACAAGTGTTCATATGTAAATGCCTACTAGTTCGTTTTTTTTTTTGCAAAAAATATTGGGTGTACGTGTGTGCACCCAAGTCCTGCCTCTTCCTAGAAGATTCATTCAAGCGAGTAATTATGTTTTTTTTTTTTGCAAGTCCAGATTGCCGGCTCTACTTGGTGAGCCGCACCGATGGCGGAGGAAGCCAATGTAAGCACAAAGTTGCCGCCTTTCCTTCCCTAGTTACTGGTTATGCGATGTCTCGTCTTTTGGTTGCAAATTTAATTGTGACTAGCTCTTCAATCAAACAGGGAAAGAAGGAGGAGGAGGAATTCAGCACGGGCCCTTTGTCAGTGCTGATGATGAGCGTCAAGAACAATACTCAGGTTGGTCGTTTTTCTACTAATTGATTGATGATGTCTCAGTTGACCACTTAATATGTTTTCCTGTTTTAACCATCTGTCTGTTCATATCGATTGTCTGTTCCAAGTATGCAAATCGTGGCATTCTTGTCTTGTCTGTCGACACTGCTTATCTCTTCCAAGTACACAAATGCTGATATTCTTGTTTGTGTACATCTGATTGTCTCTTCCAAGTACGCAAGTGTTAGTATTGTTGCCATGTGATTGTGTTACTATTACTAAAACATTCAGCTATCTGAGGAGCACACAACAGGAATTTCTCTGTATTTTTTGTCACTAACTTGAAAATTGTGTCATCACTAGGGTGTGCGACCATACTTTCTGTATGTCCGTTGTGCCAGTTGATTGTTGCTTTCGTATTTAAACTTTTTAGCTCTGTGTAGCCTAACACTCCAGTTAAAGAAAATTGTAAGACCAGCACTTTGTTTCATAGCTTATACATCTTCCTATGCAATCTGCATGTCATTCACTACAACATGGCCTTTATTGCAAGCTTGCTGTTCCCACATTAGTTTTGTTCACATAAGTGATTACACCATGATTGGAAGTTGTGAGCGACAAGGACAAGTTTAGTTGACAAGCAAACATGTTTTGTTTCTTTGTTTGGTTTGGATTTGGGCAAGGTGGCAAGAGTTTTCTTGGTTTTGACTTTTGAGGGGCTGTCCCCCGCTATAGGTTTTCCCTGCCAAACCTTGTTTAGCTGGGCTAGTGGACAAGGTTGGACCAAGAAAACCAAAATGACCTCTATCACAGGTTCCTCAGTTTACATTACTAAGAAAATCAATATTGTTTAATTCGTTTGAGAAGTCAGATTTTTTCCCCTGGATCTGTTCTCTGAATGGAATGGTCGATTTTGTTTTAAGCTTACTACTTTGATGTTGAATTTATTCTGCCAAAGTTGCTTGCCAGTTCTTCTTTGTATTGTGCTCAAAGATCTCTTTATTTTGATGAAATGCAAAAGTAAGCTTGCACTGATTCATCTACTGTATGGAATGATTTATTTCATTGTAAGCTGACTAATTTGATGTTGAACTCATTTAACCAAAATTGCTTGTCAGTGTCTCTTTAGGTTATGGTCATGGATCTTTGTTATCTCTTTGATCAGACACTGATTTTCATCCACTTGCAACTAGTAGTTGTAATCCTTGACCTCTGTCTCCTGCAAGTGCCAAGCTGTATCATTGTTACCCCCACAGCTATCTCTCGGATATGCTACATTGCTTAGTGCAGACTGCATATACTGCATTTTAAGTGCTCTGTATTCTGATTGTGTGCACTCTCATATATCGTTAGGTTCTTATCAACTGCCGGAACAACAAGAAGTTACTTGGCCGTGTGAGGGCATTTGATCGGCACTGCAACATGGTTCTCGAGAATGTTAGGGAGATGTGGACTGAGGTACGGTAACACGATACCCCAGCCTCTGAATTGTTTCCATCTCTTGTGTTGCTGTGTTCATTGACATCTGTTGCTTTGGCTGCAGGTACCTAAGACTGGCAAAGGCAAGAAGAAGGCTCTTCCGGTGAACAAAGACAGGTTCATAAGCAAGATGTTCCTCCGTGGGGATTCAGTCATCATCGTTCTCAGGAACCCGAAATGAGTCGACGACTTTGCTATGTTGATGTCTAGTCTGTATGCTACTCTAAACATGGGTAGTATGTAAGGGAGGATTCTTCTTGATCCAGAATAGCTGTGTCGATGGTTGTTTTAGTTGGGTGCTATGAAATATGAATTCGCCTCTTGGCCCATCAATATACCCGATTATCTGCTGAAGACGAATTTAGAACCCCCATGTTAGGTCACAGTGTGTGTTTGATTCTCATGTTGCAAGTTGCAAAGGTCACAGCGTGTGTTTGATCAGCATATGATCGTCGTTGCCAAGATTTAGCTGCTTTTCGTTTAGAAGCTGACATTTTAAGCATGGCAGAATCGTTCATTTATTTATAGATAGACTAGATTATCGAATAGATTCTGCTGTGGTCTGTGGAGAATCAAAGTATAGCTGGAGAATAGCAGTTTATTAATCGGTACACAATTCTTCAAATAATTGGGCTGCCTAGCAGGGTTGCGAGCGACGTCGTCCAGCGCGAGGCTTGGGCCGCTTCTCTGCTCTAGATGCTGACGGCTGGCAGAAGGTGCTGGTACGTGGGACTTACCGAGGTGCATTCCGGAGGAGTTGCGCGGCGAGTGCTTCAGCTGCCTCTCCTCGTCGCATCGGGTAGCGTCCTGCAAGCTGCCTCCGCGCTGCCTGCGTTGCCGGCGCTTCTAGTACCTTGCGCGTGAATGCAACTGACCACACCATGGCAGCTCGGTGGCCATGGGCAACGGTGGTCATCAGGCCGTCGCTCCGTTCGCGTGCTTTGCGACTCTCGACTTGCCACCTCCATCGTCGCAGACGGTGACGCTGTGGGTGCTGCGTGGCTGCGACCCATAGCGATTCTTTGTACTCCGGTGGTGTCGTGTCGGTCTCCTTAGTCCATGGTCATCGACGCAGACGTCGGAGGCATCAGAAAAAGCGTAAGCGAAAGCATAAACTTCCTATGGTGCAAGAGCAACCGAAGGGTTCACCAGTTGACAGAGGCTGCCTGTTATGACGGGCATCTAGTACATCAGGCGCAACCCCTCCAGTGGCTAGGCCACGCTCGCGCAGGAGAAGCCCAGAAGGCCTAAGTTATCAGCATTTAGTTCTTATCAGAATTACTATAATTATTAGGGGGTTATTTCTATTATTATTATTAGAGGACATATAAATACTTTGTAAGACTACTTTGGAGAATTAAGCAGAAACAGAATTGTTTGTGGCTTCCTGAAGGGAGCCGGGATTTCCTAACCCTAGCCGCCTCCTGCTGTTCTCGCGTGGACAGTGCCGCCGCTACTGTAACACCGCGAGAGTTCTAGGGCTGCAGCAGCAGCCGCCGCACTCTCGCCGCCACGGCCCCTCGCCGGCGTCGAGAGTACAGACCACGTCCTCCTCTCTTCCACCCTTATAACCTACGCAGTAACGCTGGTAGTGCATCAAGTCCTATCAACTTGGTACCAGAGACCTTGCCGATCATGGCCTCCACCGCTGCCTCCACGTCCGCCTCCCTACCCGTGTCATCAGCGCCAGCGCCGTCGGTCGCGTCGGGATTGTCGTCCGCATCTTCGGGAGCGCCCCTGACGTTGGAATCTTTGGCCGGCGACGTGGCTGAGATTGCCTGCGGCATGGCGGCCATGCAGGCGACCCTGGCCGCCCTCATCCCACCACCTCCCCCTCCACAACAGTCGGCACCACCACCACCTCCACAGCCGTCGCAGCCGCAGGCGATCTTCCCCTACGGCATGCCCCAGACCAGCGGGACGGGGGTGCCCCTCCACTTGCTGCGGTGGCCGGCCTCGCCGTCTCCCATCTCGTCGTGGGCGATGGGCTCGACGACTCCGCCCATCTACACGATGGCCACGACCCCTACACCGTCGGCGGCCGGGGTCGCGGCGTCCTCCGGGGCGCACCAGCCGCCCCCGATCAGCGGCATCTTCTCTGGAGGGACGGACGGTACCCTCATCTACGGTGGAGGCGGGTACTCCGGCGGCGCCCTATCCGCCGAGGACTCGTCTGCCGCTGCTCCCAACGGCGCCCATGCCCCTCCCAAATTTTACAAGCTGGAGTTCCCGACGTTCGACGACGCCGTTGATCCGCTCAATTGGCTCAACCACTGCGAGCAGTTTTTCCGCGGCCAGCGAACATTGGCTTCGGATCGCACATGGCTAGCTTCGTACCATCTTCATGGCGCTGCTCAAACTTGGTACTATGCACTGGAACAGGATGAAGGCATGTCGACCTGGGAACGCTTCTGCGACCTGTGCCAGCTCCGTTTCGGCCCCCCAACGCAAGGCACGTGGCTGGCCAAGCTTGCCTGGCTACCCTTCCAGTCATCGGTCCAGGAGTATTCGGACCGCTTTAATGCCGTGCTTTGCCAAGCTCGCAACCTCAATCCTCGCCAGAAGGCGGAACTGTTCGTGGGTGGCCTCCCCGAGCACATCAAGGTCGACGTCGAGATGCGCCACCCGCCCGACCTTCAGTCGGCCATGTACTACGCTCGGGCATACGAGAGTCGCGCGACAGCCTTCCTGCCCGCGCCGCCACAGCAGCGCAGCGCTCGGCCTGCGGGGCGCCCTAGGTTGCCCATAGCCCCTCGGCCGGCGGCCAACACCACCGCGGGTGGTGGAGGAGCCCCCGTCCTGCCAGCGTCTACACCAGCAGCGGCTGGACAGCCGCGATTCTGCCGTTTGTCATTGGCGGAACAGCAGGAACGCCGCAGCCAAGGACTGTGTTTCAACTGTGATGAACCATATGTGCGCGGCCACGTTTGTCAGCGCCTCTTCTACCTCGAGACCGACGACTTCCTCGGCGATGAGGTGCCGGCGGAGGTCGCTGCTACGGCCGTGTTTCCGGAGGCGCAGGAGGCGGCCGCTGCTCTTTCCCTCGGCCAGGACGCCGCGGAGCTTGCCCTGACCGGCCCGGTGGTGGAGCCCAAGGTCTCCCTCCACGCGCTAGCTAGTGTGCGCGCGGAGAACCCCATGCTGTTACCGGTGACAGTACACGGCCACCGCGTGGTGGCGCTTCTTGACTCCGGCTCAACGACAAACTTCATCAACGCCGATCTTATGCGCCGGCTTCAGCTAGTCACCACCCCCACCCTACGTTGCGGGTGTTGGTGGCCAACGGTGACCGTGTTCCATGCCAAGGGGTTGCTCGTGACGTGTCCCTCGCCATTGGCACCGAGGAGTTCTCCACCAGTTGCTTCGGCATTAGCATGGGCGAGTTCGACCTCATCCTTGGTGTTGAATTCCTCAGAACCCTCGGAACCATCCTGTGGGACTTCGAGGACATCTGCATGGCGTTCACTCGCGGTGGCCACCGCCTTCTGTGGAAAGGACTAGGCTCCCCCTGCGACGACATTCGGGAGCCCACGGTTCGGGCCGTCCACACGTCCCCAGGGCAGCCGCTCCTGGACCGGCTCCTCCACCAGTTCGGCGGCGTCTTCGACGAGCCGTGCGGCCTTTCGTCGGTCCGGCCCTATGACCACAGGATCCACCTCCTGCCAGGCACGGGCCCTATCGCTGTGCGCCCCTACCGCTACCTGCAGTTGCAGAAGGATGAGCTGGAACGGTAGTGTGCAGAGATGCTCGCACAGGGGATCATACGCCCCAGCACGTCGTCGTTCTCTGCCCCGGTCCTCTTGGTCCACAAGGCGGACAACTCCTGGAGGTTCTGCATCGACTACCGCGCCCTCAACGCCAAGACCTCCAAGGACAAATTCCCGATCCTGGTGGTGGACGAGCTCCTTGACGAGCTTCACGGCGCCCGCTTCTTTACGAAGCTTGACTTGTGTTTCGGCTACCACTAGGTGCGGATGCACCCGGACGACATCAGCAAGACGGCGTTCCACACTCACCAAGGGCACTACGAGTTCTTGGTGATGCCCTTTGGCCTCTCCAACGCCCCGGCCACATTCCAGACGCTCATGAACGATGTTCTCCTACCGTACCTCCGTAGGTTTGTCCTGGTGTTTTTCGACGACATTTTGATTTACAGCTCGTTGTGGGCCGAACACCTGCAGCACATCGGCATCATCTTCAACGCCCTCCACGCCCACCATCTGCACCTCAAGCGTTCCAAGTGTTCGTTTGGGGTGTCCTCGGTGGCCTATCTCGGCCACGTGATATCCGTTGGAGGCGTCGCCATGGACGCTGACAAGATCGCGGCAGTTGCCTCGTGGCCCGCTCCGCGGTCTGCTCGGGCCCTGTGGGGCTTCCTAGGGCTCGCCGGCTACTACCGGAAGTTCATCCAGGACTTCGGCATCATCGCGGCGCCCCTCACCCACCTCCTGCGACGCGATGCATTTGCATGGGACGCCGACCCCGATGCTGACTCGGCCTTCAGGGCGCTCAAGGGCGCCCTCACTACCGGTCCGGTCCTTCAGATGCCAGATTTCGACCGGATGTTCACCGTGGACAGCGACGCCTTGGGTGCGGGGTTCGGTGCCGTCCTTCACCAGGGCGCCGGGCCTCTTGCCTTCTTTAGCCGGCCGTTCGTCGCCCGCCACCTCAAGCTCGCCGCTTATGAGTGGGAGCTCATCGGGTTGGTCCAGGCCGTTCGCCATTGACGGCCATACTTGTGGGGCCATCACTTTCTTGTTCGTACTGACCATTACAGTCTCAAGTATCTGCTGGACCAACGCCTGTCGACGGTGCCGCAGCATCAATGGGTCAGCAAGCTCTTCGGCTTCGACTTCGCCGTGGAGTACCGCCCCGGCAGCCTCAACACCGTGGCGGATGCCCTCTCCCGCCGCGACGCCGAGACCGCCCCTAAGGAGGGCGGTACTACAGCAGCAGCGGCGATGGCCCTCTCTGGGCCGTCCTTCGCCTACCTCGACGACGTGCACCGTGCCACGGCCACTGCCCCCGACGCCTTGCTGCTGCAGGAGCAATTCCGTGCGGGCGAGCTTGCTGCCCCTTGGCACGAGGACGTGGGGCTACTGTTACACGGCTCCTGCATCTTCATCCCCGACTTTGGCGACCTCCGGCATCAGGCAATTCAGCTTGCCCATGGTGCCGGTC